GATGAAAGTGTGAGACGTCTGGTGTCCTGACAAAAAGTTTGGCCTCCTGTGCGATTGAGTTTGACACCCCCTGTTATAAATGAAAGAACTTTGTTACATTTTACAAATGAGGATTACATTTCACAACCACTACTGAGTTCAGGAGTTTTCTGAAGCAGATATGGATTTTTGAAGAGCTTTTAAATGTGATGTTATGCTACAATTTCTGCTCTATAATGTACAGAATCCTGGCTTTTTGAGTCTTAAGTTCTTAGGTATAAAACGATATTTTTAAGCAAAATGTACAGACTAGTTTTACTTATTGTACACAGCACAGGAACTAGTTAAATTTTGCATAACATGACAGAGAGGTTCTTCGGCTGGGGACCTGAATAGATCTGATAAACTGTTCCTCTGTTTGTGCGTTTTGTAAACCTGGACTGTACCTCCTCCTCATTGACCTTCTGGTTGAGCTCAGTCTCCTGCTGCAGTCGCTCCTGCTCCAGGCCTGCCTCCATGCTCTACACAACATGAGGGATAATGTATAACATGGAAAAACTGGCATGAAAATATTTTTTAAGATGTGTCTGTGCAGATTCTCAGTCATCCAGGTCATAGTAAGCTGAAAAAAACTCAACTGGACTAGATTTCTAGGTCGAAGACATTTCACCTCTCATCCAAGAGGCTTCATCAGTTTTGAACTTATTTGTCCCTCAAGGATCAAATAGGCACCGGGTATATAAATCTTTTATCCAGTTTTACTTGTACTGTTTGTTTATACACACAAATTACTTCCTTTTACAATCATTTGTGAGTGAAGATCTACAGTGAGATTGTATAAGTAATCAGTCTGTTCATAAGCCCAGTGAATAGCTGCTTCTTGATGCCACGCTCACCTGTATGCATGTGAAATACTCTGAAAGCTTGGCCGCGCAGTCACACATGTGGCCCTGCAGCTCGGCTAGCTGTTGCTGGAGTCGCTGCTCACTCTCCTGCTCAAGCTGCAGCTTGTTCTGCCAGAATTCCTCTTCTTCCATCTCAACATTATTCCTCCTCACTTCCTGCTCTAAAAGCAGCAGCTCCTCCTCCAGGTTTTCTCCCTGGTAAAGCAAAATAATTATATTTGCAAACTTTTATGTTCTAGAGAGGATATAAAATAGTAATTTAAAAAGCTGTAGCCACAAGAAATAATTTATGTATGTAAAAATTAACAGATCTAAAGACATGAGGGTTTAGAGTGGAGGTGTTTTGGATCTGCACACATCTATAGAACTTGTCCTCTATATGGTAGCTGTAGTTTTTCCTCACTTCACTGGCCTCGCCTGCAGCCTCCTCCCAGTCTCGCAGCTCGGCCTCACAGCGCAGCAGACGGCTCTCCAGAGCCTGGATCTTGTCCCTCTGCAGCTGCACCAGCCGGCTCAGCTCTCTGGCTGGACTCCCAGGTACAGATGCTACTCCACCTCTAACTCTGCTCAGGTTCAGGTTCAGACCACAGTGGTGGGGCTGTTTGGCTGTATGGACAGATGAAGGGGTAGGTGGGAGATGAAAGGATGGTGATCAAATTGTTGACAAGCAAAAAAAACTGAGGTAGAGAGGAAAGGAAAGAAAGCGTCACTGACAAGTGTGACTATAGTGGGCAAAAAATAAAAACAAGCTTTACCTTCAGCATCTCTGCTTTTTCCAAATATGTTCCACAAACCTTTGGCCCCTCCGGTGAAGGTCAGAGATTTGCGCTTTGGTTCCCTGCGTTTGAGCGAGTGATCTGTCCCTGATGGGTGGAGCTTGGCCAGAGGTGGGAGGCTCTGCCGGTAGAAGCCACGCCGTGGAACGCGAGCCTGCCCATCAGAGATGGGCTGCTCGCTAACAGACGGGCCAGTTCGTTGGAGGATGAGCTGCACATCGCTGGCATATTGACCCCACTTGTTGAGAGACACTACAGGGTTTTCATGCGGAGCCAGGTGACGTTCTGTATCACGCCATTTCTCAATCAAAGTGTATCTGCCAGTTCGTCCTGGGACAAAATAAAAGCTTAGATGAACATAACAATTTCCTGACAACTTAAAAGGCCCTGAAAACATATTTGTAAGCAGTTTCTTATTATGAGCAGTGCTATCCCACAAGAACACACATAATGGGCTAAAGTTGGAACAGTTTTTATTTTACATGAGCAATTCCTGTATTTGTGTTTGTCTAGTCTCATTGTTTTGAAATAGATGGGGCTGGGTTGGGCACTTGGTGTTGTGAGGATTTCACAACATGTTAATTTATGTTATTTTGTTTTACAACTATTTGCCAGGCCACTGTCAATCAAATCTGATCAAACAACACAAACACACAATCCTAATGAAAGAGATTAGCTAAATTCTTAAGTGTTAAACTCTTAATGTTTTTTTTAAAACATGAATATTTACATATTACATAAATAATAAGCAAATGTATTTAGGGGTGTTGATGCTACTTGCATATTGCAAGCATGATGCTTACATATTAATTTATGATATGATCCAAATAAAGTTCCATGTGTGCCATAGAGAAGTGAAATACAACAGGAAAAGTGATTCACTGAAGTCTTTTACAACTCTCCCATGCTTGAGCGCCATTGGCAGACATGAAAAACTTTACAGTGGGAAAATTCAACTCAACAAACAGAAACTTTGTTAAGAAGAAGACTAAGTTCAATGGTTCACGGCTGTGTGTGTGTGCATGTCTGTGTATGCCTGCATTCTTGTCTATACATGTACTGTATAGATAAGAGCTTAACACTGCCCATCGCACCCTCACCCCTGTCCTGCAAAGTAATGGTCCTTGTAAAAGAGCTGCATTCATCACCACAGCTATTCACATCAAAGTGCCCTGGCCTAGACAAAAGGCACAAGGAACACAAAGAACAGTGAATGCCATAACTGTCACTGTGAAAGACATTTTAACTAACATCTGTGGAGTTAGTAAGAAACCAAGTGACCACACACATCTGTCAATTTGAAGAAATTCTTGTACTCTTCGATTTGCAAAGATTTCTACACAATCTGATCCTTGCAATAACTAACAATTTATCAACATATTTTTTCTGTAATTGTAGAAAATATATCAATAAAACCAAGTCTGCAGCATAACTCCTCTGGTTTTGTGCAGCCCCTTTATGGTGAAAATCTCTTTGTGCCCTCAAGTCACTTTTCATTTTGATGCAATTTATCATCCCCAGTTTGTCCGACAACCCGCCTGGCCAACACTGGACACGGCTCACATCACAGAATATGCCCATGGGGATTTATGCAGAACAAAACATCATTCATTCAAATGTTTGGCACAAAAGCCAGAGGCTTTCATCTCACTGCAGTAAATCTACTATTTTGCCTTTTGGATTGTCCAAGGGTTTTATGAGTATTTACATTGGTTGTCAATTCCCCATCATATAACCAATAATATTTCATATTTACAGCTCCCATTCTTCAGAAATTCTATATTTTAGAGGATATATAACCTGTAAACAAGAGAGATGAGCACAGTTTCTCATAGGTTTCCGTTTACCAATGGCTTGTGCCAAAGCAATGACCACTTCCTGGCACGTGGTGAACTCCGTGACCCCACACACGATGCGCTGCACTCCATCCACCCACACTTTGAGCTCCATGGCCTTCATTTGTCCACATCACAAACAGGTGCTAATAATATTTTACTGTTCTTCCGAAACTGGGGAGGGGGGAAAAAAAGCTGTTCAGTCCTTTTAAAACAACAGTCTAAAACAACAATCTTAAGGCTGCATTAATCAATATTTAGATGTAATGATGATCTGAATGTAGTATGAAAAGTGTCCTTCATACTGACATTTCAGAGAATTATCAACTGACTCTGCAATTACTCATCTATTCTATGAAGTGTTACAGCATTTTCAGCTCATTGTGTTGGTTTTACACTTCCTGCTCAGCACCAAATATCAGAAGCACAAAATTAAATGGTGAACATTTTGAAGAATTGAGTAGCTGAAAAGCCAAATATTTCTTCAGGAGTTGGTAGAGACCAAACCAGAGTGAAAACAAGAGTGAATAATGGTTCTGTTGAGCGATAAGCACTGCTTGAAATCAATGCTAATGGTGCACTGTACCTGCTGAATGTGTACAACATACCAACCTTAGAAGTTCGTAATATGTCTGTGTTGTGTTTACAGCCTTTTCTGCTTCCCCCAAGTGGCCAAAACTGCCTGCAGGTTTAATAACATATGGTTTCATTGGAATAAAAACACAATATGATTATATCATCACAATACGATTCTGCTTAAATCCAATATTTCCAGCTCTACATTGCCTCAGCCCTACTTCCTACATTTCCCAGAGTGACGTTACAACCATTAAAACATGCTTACAACAATTCAGATAAAAAGAGTTAAAGTTTTAAACACATGGTTGTGCAAAGTGACACCAGCTTCCAGTAAACCAACAACTCAACACACTTATTAATTTGAAACGGTTTCCTGTAATGCTGCTGATACATTGCTGCAAGAACATGATTGTGGTGCAGCAACTGTGACCATCTAACAGGCCTCATCTAATATATTTTTCATTTGCTGGTGTCAATGTAGGAAACCTTACAACAGCCATGGCACGAAGAACGAGAGCCATTTCGAACTGCTGACACAGGCGCCACAGCAGCCAGGCAGTCATTATAAACCTGGCAAGGCCACAGCAGTAGGCCAGAGCAACAGAGCAGTGAAGGAGCAGGTACCTAATGCTCAGACTTTTGAAACCCTACTGGGCAGCAGCACTCCTTTTTCCTGCATGGGCCATCAGCTTGGCACTCATCCTTAACTTTCATATCATTTGAGGCTTCCTTTAATAATTTAGACACCTTCCATCTTCATCACAGCTGGAATGGGAATCCCATCCCTCCTGCAATTTAACTGCTGGTCCCCCTCAAGGCATTTCCCTACTGAGACTACATTACCTTGCATATTCCTGTGCACCGAAGGCATCTAGTAAGGCAAGGCCTGCATTTGGCAGGCAGCAGGATGATTTGTAACACCAGACAAATACTAAAGGATGCATATGAACCCAGACACTTGTTACAGCCCAGTAAATTAGACTATTCCCATGAATACAGCCCAATGGGACAAGGAATAGAGGAGAAACAGTAAAAAGAAAGAAAAAAGGGCATGAATAAAGATCCAGATGGATAAACAAAGCATAGGAGGTGAATGAAAAGAAGAGTCTGGGGTGGCCTGAAGAAAGAATGGGATGAGGGATACAAAACAGGACCTATAACATTAATAGTATTTACAATAGTACTTCCTAAGATATACAAGATATACATTGCATGCTGTCAGCAAAGTGGAAAAACAAGATTGTGATCAAACTGCAAAGTATAATCTGACTTTAAATGCCTATATATGAACTGATGAATATGAAAGATGCACAAGAAACATTCTTTTTTTGGTTCATGTAGAACAGTCAGAGCGGGTCATCGATTACTCCAAGATTCCCTCATCAGCAAGATAGTCAACATGTGTGAAGAGTCAACTGAGAGAAATAATTTCTAATCTGGACTGCTAACTAGTTAAAACTTGACTTGAAAGAACTTGTGAATACAATGCCTGTGACATGATTGCGTAACACAGTGTCCTCACAGAAGATGTGATGATGCCTTGAATTTTCACAGCTGTGAAACTCCCAACTCCCAACCCAGTGTTTAGAGTATCCTACTTAGACAGTATACCAGTCACGGCTGAGGAGATAGCCAGTTGTCAGAGTTACATGACAGCCATTGGGGGGTGGTTAAAATGAAAGCTCTGGCTAGAAGCCTGTTTTGGTGGCCCTTTCTCGATGAAAATATTGAAACAGAGGTAAATATGTGTGACATTTGCAAACAGCAACGTAGCATGCCTGCTACTGCACCTGTGCATACTTGAAAATGTGCTGATTTGAATTTCTTTTTGGAAAAGAATGCTAATGAATATTTCATTTTGTCTTACAGGTGCCCTGCTGTCCGACGCCTCTCTTGTACCTATGTTTAACAGGAATTCTATCTTTCTTGTCCCACTCTGTTTTTTTGGAATTTTGGACAGCTTGATGAATTTTGAAACACTTTGATGAACCTATTTCTTGAAACACATTTATTGGTGCCCTTGTTTATGGACAATCAGGTTAGTGGTACCTGATCTACTTATCTTTATTGATCTGAGAGTCTCTCTGCTCTCCCGCTCTATCCGATCTTCGCAAAATTTTCCCCCCCCCCCCCCACACACACACACACACATTTTATTAAAAAATTTTGAAAATATTTCATTTGACATTATTTTTCAGTCATAGGTCAACCATTGGCTCATAATTTACATAACTCATAAATATATTGACAGTGCTCACTTTAAATTCATATTTTATTCTTGAGAAATGTATAAAAGAATAAATACATAAGAATTGGACCTGAAAAACAAGAGCACTGCAGCTGTTCCTGACTCATGTTGCTGTTGGTCATTCTAGGCTTGTCCAGGTTTGCATTCAAAGGTTTGATCTGGCATCAAATATCTGTATTCATTTATGCTATTTGAAAAAGTCAATTTATGTATTTTGCTGTTATAATCTTAAATAAAAACAAAACAAGAGTAAGGAGGACCTGGATTTATTTGGAGTGGAGGTTGCCTGTCTGCAGACACAGCGTTGAAGGGTGTGACTGATCGACACCCAGTGGAATCCTGCAAAGCCAGAAGCATCATCTCACCAGACACCTGACTAC